AAGATAAAGTGAATTGCTATAAAAGGCAGAACCAAGACAGAACTTGGTGTTTCTGATTCTTAACCCAGCAGTTGTCTATCCTACTGGGTTTGGAAAGAGTTTTCTAAGGGGTATCTATAGAAAGCATAACCCCTCCATTTTTTACCTCAAGAAAGCGGTAGCTTTTTAGTGCTGCTAAAATGTCTAATCAGACTGTCCTGGATTTTTTGCTGTTGTTGTTGACTCATAGAATTTATAAAAATTACAGTTAAAAAAAAACATGCTTTTGTTAAAAGAAATTTGAAGTGGGTGCATTTTGTGTCCAAGACATTTACAAGTTTCTAATTTTATATGTTTTTTTAATTGGTGTAATTAAATGAAGTTTACATTTCAAGTTAGTCTCCCGTACAGACTTTTTTTTTTTTAACATACATTGTTAAGAGACCCCAACCGCTCACCCCATTCTGGGACAGCACACTCCTCACCTCCGCCCCTGATTCCCCATGAACATTCAACCAGCTCCTAACTCTCGCTGCCTTTCCATCTCACCTCTGGACAGAAGCCGCCCTACAAGTTTCTAATTTTACTTCTACCTCCTGGAATGGCTGAACGTCAACCAATTCTTTCTGGTATAGTGACTCTGTGTATTCCTTCCATCTTCTTTTGATGCTTCGTGGGTCGTTTAATATTTTCCCCATAGAATCCTTCACAATTGCAACTTGAAGCTTGAATTTTTTCTTCAGTTCTTTCAGCTCGAGAAATGCTGAGCGTGTTCTTTCCTTTTGGTTTTCTATCTCTAGCTCTTTGCACATGTCATTATAATACTTTACTTACAATCAAAAGAAAATGGAAGGAATACACAGAGTCACTATACCAAAAAGAATTGATCAATGTTCAAACATTTCAGAGGTAGCATATGATCAGGAACTGATGGTACTGAAGGAAGAAGTCCAACTGCACTGAAGGCATTGGCAAAAACAAGGCTCCAGGAATTGATGGAATATCAATGGAGATGTTTCAACAAATGGATGAAGCGCTGGAAGTGCTCACTTGTCTATGCCAAGAAATTTGGAAGACAACTACCTGGCCAACTGACTGGAAGAGATCTATATTTATGCCTGTTCCCAAGAAAGGTGATCCAACTGAATGCAGAAATTATCGAACAATATCATTAACATCACATGCAAGTAAAATTTTACTGAAGATCATTCAAAAGCGGCTGCAGCAGCACATCAACAGGGAACTGCCAGAAATTCAAGCTGGATTCAGAAGAGGACGTGGAACCAGGGATATCATTGCTAATGTCAGATGGATCCTGGCTGAAAACAGAGAATACCAGAAAGATGTTTACCTGTGTTTTATTGACTATGCAAAGGCGTTCGATTGTGTGAATCATAACAAATTATGGATAACATTGCGAAGAATGGGAATTCCAGAACACTTCATTGTGCTCATGAGGAACCTGTACATAGATCAAGAGGCAGTTGTTCGAACAGAACATGGGGATGCTGCGTGGCTTAGTCTGGAAAAGTGTGCATCAGGGTTGTATCCTTTCACCATACCTATTCAATCTTTATGCTGAGCAAATAGTCCGAGAAGCTGGACTCTATAAAGAAGAACGGGGCATCAAGATTGGAGGAGGTCTCATTAACAACCTGCCTTACACTGATGACACAACCTTGCTTGCTGAAAGTGAAGAGGACTTGAAGCACTTACTGATGAAGATCCAAGACCACAGCCTTCAGTATGGATTACATCTCTACATAAAGAAAATAAGAATCCTCACAACTGGTCCAATAAGCAACATCATATAAATGAAGAAAAGACTGAAGTCATCAAGGATTTCATTTTACTTGGATCCACAATCAACACCCATGGAAGCAGCAGTCAAGAAATCAAAAGACGCATTGCATTGGGAAAATATGCTGCAAAAAACCTTTTTAAAGTGTTGAAAAGCGAAGATGTCACCTTGATGACTAAGGTGCACCTGACCCAAGCCGTGATGTTTTCAATCGCCTCATATGCATGCGAAAGCTGGAGAATGAATAAGGAAGACCACAGAAGAATTGATGCCTTTGAATTGTGGTGTTGGCAAAGAATATTGAATGTACCATGCACTGCTAAAAGAACGAACAAATCTGTCTTAGAGGAAGTACAAACATAATGCTCCGTAGAGGCAAGGATGACGAGACTACGTCTACAAACTTTGGACATGTTATCAGGAGGAATCAGTCCCTGGAAAAGGACATTATGCTTGGTAAAGAAGAAGTCAGCAAAAAAGAGGAAGACCCTCAATGAGATGGATTAACACAGTGGCTGCAACGACGGGCTCAAGCATAGCAGCGATTGTGAAGCTGGCACAGGACCAGGCAGTGTTTCATTCTGTTGTACATGGGGTTGCTATGAGTCGGAACTGACTCGATGGCATCTAACAAAGACAACAACAATTTTAGTTATCCACTTTTTAAATTTAGCTCATTTTATTTTATTTTGTTTGATGTATTTTATTTTTAATATTGCTCAATTAAAATGTTGATAATTAAGTAAAGTTTGTTGCTGTCGTTAGGTGCTATTAAGTAGATTCGGACACATAGTGACCCTATAGGACAGAGTAGAACTGCTCCATAGAGCTGTAATCTTTACCAAAGCAGATCGCCAGGTCTTTTCTCCAACAGAGCTACTGGGTAGGTTTGAACTGCCAACCTATTGTTTAGCAGCTGAGTGCTTAACCATTGTCCACCAGGGCTCCTGAAGTATGTAGAAACGTGAAAAACAATTTAACTGTAAATGCGTTGTTGTTGTTAGGTGCCTGAGTTGTTTTTGACTCACAAGACCCTATATGACAGAGTAGAACTGCCCCATAGGGTTTTCTAGCTGTCACCTTTATAGGAGCAGACTGCCACATCGTTCTCCAGTGGATCAGTTGGTGGGTTCAAACTGCCAACCTTTCTGTTAGCAGCTAAGCACTTAACTTGTAAATGCATAATTGGCATAAAAATCATAGACAAAAAAAACAAAAAAACAAAAAAAAGTTTTAAAATAAATATTCAAAATCTTAAATCTTAACTGATTTCATAGGTAATTTTGCAACAGTATTGGATAAATGACAATATTGATTTAGCATTTAGTTTTGTCAAGAGATCTAAAGAAAAAAATAAAAATAACTAAGGAATTAATACAGACTAGTTAAAAAGAGATATTTGTAAGTAAGATGAAGGCTGATGTTTCTCAGAGTGTGTTGTGAAGACTCCCGGCATCAGAATCACCCTGGATTCTGTTAAAAATGCAGATTCTTAAGCCTTTTTCTTAATTTACTTCTAGAGAGAGGATGACTCTGGTGAAGCCCCGGGTAATCCTGATGCACACACAGGGACATTTTCAAGGGAGGCAAGAATGTGTTTCTACACGTATCTTCCTCTTATTGGTCAAGACAAGTTAATGACTTGAAATAGAAGGAAATGGGCGGAGTCAGCGTGAGGAGACATTTTATAAGCAGATAAACAGGGATCAGAGGAACAGCCTACGTGGAGAATAGTCTCAGCCCCTCTGACCTTTTCTCAAGCTCTTGTTTGTTTCCTTTGCCCATAGCAGCAATGCTGGTTTTTCAGCAGTCCTTCTCTCAGGTTCTTGTTTCTCCTCATTATACACGGGCTCTAGATGATCTCACTCCTGCCCTTGCCTTCAGGGTTCCTGACCCCAATCTACCTCCCTGGCCTTTACCTTTACCAGAGCGCTCACCTCCATGTCTGTCTGCGTTCGACGTCAGACTCACACTTACCTCTGTATTCCCCATGTTGTGGTCAGTTGCCAGCGAGTCAGTTCCGACTCATGGAGACCCTACGTGTGCAGAGTAGAATTGCTCTACAGGGTTTTCGAGGCTGTGACCTTTTGGAAGCAGATCTCCAGGCCTGTCTTCCGAGGCGCCTCTGGGTGGGTTTGAATCTCCAACCTTTCTGTTAGTAGTCGAGTGCTTAGCCACATGCGCCACCCAGGGTCTCCTTGTATTTCCTATAGCACTTTCTTTACAAAGGTCCTGCCATTGTTAAAATTGGCAAAAATAAGAAAGATATTAAAGCAGCAAAGGGGACAAAAATCTTGTTAACTTTTTAAAATGGGATATGTATGTTACCAGTTTAGCTTTTGACTCTGGCTTTGTAAATCAAAGACACAGGGTTGGCCATTTATTGTTCAATGTATTTGCCTAATTTAACATAAGCGCCCATTTCACGGAGCAGATTTTACTATTTATCCTGGGATATTTGATAAAACATGGAATGCTGGCAGCAATAAACTCAGAAACTTGGGGTTAAGACATACGGCAATGGTATATATTAAGTCTGAAAGATGTTGTTCTTTAAATAATGATCCTAAAAATAGCAAAATATTACATAGATATGACCTATATATATTATACTTAAGAAAAGATGTTCTTAGGTTAGAGGCTTTTTGATGTCTTAAACAAGTATTTAATTTTGGAATTTTTGCTCAATTTTTTTTGATAAATGTAAATCAGAAAGGGAGGAGAAATGGGAAGTTATTGCATAAGATATGCTAAGTTTTTCTTTGGGGAGATGAATAACATTCGGTAATCAAGATTGATGATGGTTGTACAACGCGGCGGATGAAATTAATGTCACTGAATTGTACACTTAAAAAGATTAAAATGGCATGTTTTGTTATATATATTTTACTACAATAAAAAAAAAAAGTAAATCAGAATGAAAAAGCTAATGAATTGTGCTTAGTGTTTGGTACCTAAGGAATGATCTCTCCTGCCACTTCGGATGGCAGTATTCTGAGTGCTATTGTTGGAGCAATACAATTAGAGAAACGAACGGGCTTTGGAGGGCTAGAGAATCGAGACTAACGCTGTCTGACTCTAGAGGGGTGCCACCACCATGAAAGACTGCACCCCTACTGATATCACAGGGAGATTAGCCTTCTTAAGAATCATGAAGGGATCAAGCATTGTCCCCTGTCAAAACACATCTCCACTCCAAATAAACCATCTTCTCTTTTAGGTCAGAAACTTTGCAAATCGAAGAAAGGAATGTGCAGAGACAGCGTGTGTAGGCAAGAGCCCAAGTACCACGTGTGCACATGTGCGGAGGGATATACGTTAAGCCAAGACCGGAAGTACTGTGAAGGTAATGCGCAGATCATTGTAATGTACAAGGGAAGCCCACCGGAGCAGTGGATTGTCTTCTGCGGGGTCATCAGAGCCTTAATGTGATACCAATGTCAAGTTCCACTCTTCCTTTTCTGAAAAACAATTTTAGTTTTTTCTTCTGTTTTTAAAACCTTTATAATCTTTCAGGTCTTCTTTATAGCTTGTGTTCCTAGTTCAGACACTCTCAGAGGCTGCTCAGGGGTTGATATAAAGCAGGAATATTATGGATGGGCTACATGGACCTCCATGGTTTCCCTTTGTGCAAATTTCAGTATATGCAAGTTTTTTTTAGGGACGTGGCTCCGTAGCTAGATTCTCAAAGAATATGTGACCCCCCACCTCCCATCCCCTCAAAGTCTGTGAGGAATCTTGAGAAACTGTGAACCAGGGTTGGCTTTTTAGGGCTTCTCCTGTATTGACATTCCAGGCCTACTTTGATGAACCTGTGAGAAGCACTGTGTCCTCTTTCCTGGGAGGTTCAGTGGTTTAGTTATGTAAATAATCCAGCGGCTGCAGCACGCATTCAGTGGAATTAGTTGGGATGAAACCTCAGGTAAATCTAATATCTGCCTTGTTAGTCATTCAGTTGCTGTCGAGACATTTCTGACTTATATTGACGCCATGTGTGTCAGAGTAGAACTGTGCTCCATAGAGTTTTCGAGGCTGATTTTTCAGAAGCTGATCTCCAAGCCTTCCTTCACGGTGTCTCTGGGTGGACTGGAACCTCCAACGTGTTGGTTAGCAGCTGAGCTCCTTAACCATTTGTGCCACCCAGGGACTTCTGTGAATTAGTTATGGTCTCCTACTTTTATGGGTAGGTCCCTGGGTGGCGCAAATGGCACGGTGCTCGGCTACTAACTGAAAGGTTGGCGGTTTGAGCCCACTCAGCGGTGCCTCAGAACACAAGTCTGGCGATCTGCTTCCAAAAGGTCACAGCCTTGAAAACCCTATGGAGCAGTTCTCCTCGGACACACGGGGGCTGCCTTGAGTTGGAATCAACTTGATAGCAACCAACAACAATCATAGCTTATATGGGGACTGGTGGGCAAAAGCCTTAGCGTAGAAACACAGCTGGAAGCCTGGAGCTTAATTAGGGCAGAGTACAGGTGCTGAGGGAAGTGTGCCCGTTCCGGCAAAAAGCTCCAGTCAGTGTTGTGAAGGGTGAACAGCAGAGCAGGAATGTCCCGGCTTTAAATGGCATGCTATCTATTTTCGAAGAGATGGTACTACTTCTTTCCGAGGGTAATTCTAGAATGTAAATCTGTATTTGAAAGTAAAAACTGTGACAATAAAAATTGCTTTCATGATAAGTGAGCTGACTTCTTTCAGTCTTTGCTGGAGTAGCAAAAAGTCTTTCAGTGGTTAGTTACAGCATATACAGGTGTGAGATCCCCTTTGTGCTGACTAGAAGTGATATCAGGAGCCCTGGTGGCACAGCGGTTAAAAGTGCTTGGCTGCTAACTGAAAGGTGGGCCGTTTGAAGCTACCAGCTGCTCCACAGAAGAAAGATGTGGCAGTCTGCTTCCATAAAGACAGCAGCCTTGGAAACTCTATGGGGCAGTTTTACCCTGTCCTATAGGGTCTCTATGAGTCAGGATCGACCAGACACCAATGGCTTTGGTTTTGGGGGGTTTATTAGTGATATCACAATTTGTTTTCAGAAATAATCATATGACTACATTTTGTTTTCATCATTGTGTAGATGTCAATGAATGTGCCCTTTGGAATCATGGCTGTGCTCTTGGTTGTGAGAACACCCCTGGATCCTATTACTGCACATGCCCTGTAGGATTTATTTTGCTTCCTGATGGGAAACGATGCCACCGTAAGTCACAGCAACAAGTGTTTATAGTATCCTTTTCCTGCATTTTCAGTGATGTTTCTCAGTCGATACGATCTGGATTGGAGGTCCCCCGTCAGCAGTGTGCATCAGGATCACTTTGGAGTTTTATTTTGTTTTACTTTTCAAAATACAGATGACTAGACTCTATGCCGGACCTATTAAATTAAAACTCCAGGGTTGGGAAAGAAGCATGTATATATTTCTTTCTCTTTCTTCATCCATACATAATTCGTTGTATATCTCTAAAAGATAAACATTTTAAAAACATAATCATGATACATTATTATCTCTAAAAAATTAACGATAATTCCTTCCTATCAACTAATAGGCAGTTCTCAGACTTAACCATAGTAACATTATCACACCTAAATACTATGAGTAATAATTCCTTAATAACATCCAATATCCAGTCAGTTTTAAAAGTTTTCCTATTATCTTAAAAAGTTGTTTTTAAATAGTTGATTTGTTTAAATAAGTGTCCAAACAAGTTTCACAGGTCGTATTTGCTTGATATATCTTTTATTCTGTAGATTCCCTCTTTCTTTTCTTCCCCTTGTAATTTTCGAAGGAACCATTTTTTCCAGCAGTTTCTCACATTCTTCGCTTTGCTGATTGCACATCTGTGATGTCATTTAACAAGTTTTTCTGTCCTCTGTCCTACAAACTTGTAGTAAGATCCAATGACTTGATCGGATTCAAATTTGACATTTTTGGCAAGAATACTTCATAGTTGTGTTTGCAGGTCCATTGAAACAAACAAACCCATTGATTGATTTCAACTCATAGCCACCCTACAGGACAGAGTAGAACTGCTCAATAGGGTTTCTAAGAAGCAGCTGGTGGATTTGAACTGCTGACTTTTTGGTTAGCAGTCAAGCTCTTAACCACTGCACCACCAGGGTTTCTGTAGGACCACTACCTCTTGCCGTCGAGGCGATTCCGATTCATAGCGACCCTATAGGACAGAGTAGAACTGCCCCATAGAGTTTCCAAGGAGCGCCGAGTTTCCAAGGAGTGCCTGGTGGATTTGAACTGCTGACATTTCGGTTAGCAGCCATAGCACTTAACCACTACGCCACCAGGGGTTCTGTTGGTCCATTAGGAGGCACATAATATCTGGCTGTTTCTTTTTCTGTCATGCCAGGTTTGCTCAGTGTGTTCATTCATCCATTATATATTCCCCAACAGTCTTTCAGCAAATGGTTTTATCAGCCATTAACAATTATCCATTGTTGTATTGTTAATCGATTATTCCATCAAGGGTTTCAAAATGGTGGTGTTCTAGTTTTATTATTTCTTTTAAATTATTAACCAGAATATCTTTACAAAGAGAACTTTCTCTCATTAACTGTTTGATTGCATCAAGATACAATTCTTACAGTAAAGGCAGGAGAAATGTTGGATTTTTTTCCCCCACTTTATTTACTTATATTCAGAATAATGGATTGGTTCCTTAACACCTTCCAAAAGTGAGCAATGAGTGTTTTTTAAAATTATTATTATGAGCTTATAGATCTTTAACATTTTTGATGTGTTTCAACCCATTGTAGTTGTTATCCTTACTCATGTGCAAATTATCTTCTCTTTGGCCAGTGGGAGGCTTTTCAAATTAGTTCCTGACCTCAGTAGTCTTTGTTAGGTTCCTTGTTATCTGGTAGGGTAGATTTTCTAGTCGCATCTTGTACACTTCATGTACTAAATCTGGAATCAGCAATTTCTCAAGGAGCGCTGGTTCCTTTTTAATGAGAAAAGGTATTTAAAGACCACAGTCTGGTATTTAGTTACTGATTGTTCCTAGGCCTTTTCTGGAATCAAAGCTAGAATACATTTTTTTTTTTTTAAACCAGAGGAGATGTATTATGAGTTAATATGGATATTTCGAGTTCAAATTTAGGATTACAGGGCTTTTACTTAATTAAAAAAAATGTATTTGTAATCTCTCTCCTTTTTTTTTTTTTTACATAGAAATCCTTGGGTTCATTGTTGTTAGGTGCTGTTGCGTCAGCTCCGACTCACAGTGACCCTACATATAACAGAACGAAACACTTCCTGGTCCTGCGCCATCCTCACAATCATTGCTATGTTTGAGCCCACTGTTGCAGCCACTGTGTCAGTCCATCTTGTTGAAGGTCTTTCTCTATTCTGCTGACCCTCTACCTTACCAAACATGATGTCTTTCTCTGGGGACTGGTCCCTCTTGATAACATGTCCAAAGTATGTGAGATGAAGGCTTGTCAACCTCGCTTCCAAGAAGCACTCTGGCTGTACTTCTAAGAAGTTTGTTCGTCTGGTAGTCCATGGTATATTCAATACTCTTTGCCAGCATCATAATTCAAAGGCATCAATTCTTCCTCAATCTTCCTTATTCATTGTCTAGCTTTCGCATTCATTCAAGGACGCTGAAAATATCATTGCTTGGGTCAGGCACACCTTAGTCGTCAAACTGACATCTTTGCTTTTCAACACTTTAAAGAGGTCATTTGCAGCAGATTTGCCCAGTGCAATACATCGTTTGATTTCTTGACTGCTGCTTCCATGGGCGTTGATTGTGGATCTGAGTAAAATGAAATCCTTGACAACTTCAAAATTTTCTGTTTACCATGATGTTGTTTATTGGTCCAGTTGTGAGGACTTTTATTTTCTTTATGTTGAGGTGTAATCCATACATTCTATGCATACTTGAGTCATTTTAATTGAGCTTTGCTAATCAAAAGGTCAACAGTTAAAATCCACTAGCCACTCCTTGGAAACCCTATGGGTGGTTCTACTCTGTCCTATAGGGTCGCTATGAGTCAGAATTGACTCGACGGCAATAGGTATCCTGTTTTATTATCCATTCTGCCTATTCTTGCCTCCATTCTTCACTGTTTTAATTATTGTGCCTTTATGATACATTTTGATATTTGTTAAGACCCCCTCATTTCTCTCTCCACACCTAACCACACTCATATAACATGCTTAGTTTTTCTCACACATGGAATTTGTTTTCCAAATGAACTTGAGAATCATTTGGCCAAGTTCCATTTAAATCTTTTGACATTTTGATAACTGATAACTTTTAAAATGCTATTTCACATATTTAAATATTTATCATTTAGCGTATCAAATATTTATTATTTAAT